AAAAAAAAAAAAAGGAACAAAAGTTCTTAAAAGATCTAATTTACAGGGTAATAAAAATCACTGCCAGTCTTAATCATTTTTCTATTGAAAACAATGTAAAGAGATGCATTTACTAACTTCTTTTCAAGTAATGCGATTAACATTGAAATGAAATTAAAAATAAATATATAAAAATAAGATGTTTAGTTTGCACAGGCACCATAAACGAGCATAGCTTATGTACTTTGTGTACCGGCAGATTCCAAAAGGTATTCATTAATTGATGTAGTACATACTGCAGAGATATAGTGAAGATTATAACTCGGTTCGTATGGAGATGAACTGAATAAATGAAAAAGAGTCTGAATAATTTCTTTAAAGACTGAAAATACTTTGGTCTACCGAATGTAGGCATTGCCAGCATGAAACTCTAAACATATTCGATCGTCCGCCTGTCTTTAATGTGTTCTGAAATGGCAGAAAGAAAATGAACTTAGGTCACTAATTGACATCCGCAAATCAAGTTTAAAAGGTAGAAAGGAGAATTTCCTTACATTTTTTACAAACTACTTACTATTCTATACTACGTAACAGGAGACCGCAAATATATAATGAATTTCAAAAAAATAATTGCAATCCACATACTAATAAGCCAATAGTGTAATTCAAAGCTAAGCTAAGCGTTTACTATATCATTAGGTAGCAAAGATTCGCTTTAATGCGAACAAGATTTTCTTACTTGTTCTTTAACAAAAGAACACACATATATATATATATATATACATATATTGGAAACAAGAAACAATTAGATGCAATTAAATTAATGTTTACAATTTTTATTCTTGTCTCAATGCAAATAGTGTAGTTTTATATACACACACACATATATATATATATATATATATATATATATATAGTATATATATATACTAGTATATGCATGCATGTATTTGCAATAATTACTAAAAGTAATTCTAGATCAAAAACACAGACACATTCAATTATAAAATGAAAGAAAAAATAGAATATTTATTTAAAAGCGAAAGGAAGAGAAAAATAATGAACAAAATAAATGAAAGCAAAATTGAAATAAATACTTTATTTTGAAGATGACATATCTAATAAAGTATTTCGAATTCTGTCTCTGCCCACCTAATATTTTCGACTACTTCCATTAAAATGTTTAGAAACGCTGCAAAGTATTTATTTATGATTCACGACAACGCAACGTATGGAGCGCATCTTGAAAGCTGTGCATGAAATCATAAGAATAGGTTAAAAGAAGATGTAATACAATTTAAATTCTCAATAAAATGCAAAGTAGTCAATAAATCGATCAAGCACACATTATAGCCACAATATTGACAACAAAGTGTTCAGTTAATATATTAATAGAAAAATAATAGAAAAAAAACAAAAAAAAAATTTAATAAATAAATAAAAATATCAAAAAATCTATTTCATTCTATTTTTTCTAATAATATTCAATTTTTCATTAAATTTTAAAAATAAATGACTTTAACTTCAGTTTTGTTGGTTTGGGCAGGTCGAATGACAACAAGTATCTGTACAAAGATCAAGAGGTTTTCTTTCTCTATAATTTTGTGATATAAAAGCTTCTCTCAATTAAACTTGTATCTTCGATATTCCTTATTTTAAAACACCGAAACATCTTCATTTACGGTAAGCTGCACCTTTGATTCTGGTGGTTGTGGCTTGTAGAGAGCCTGCACGGCACTTCACCAACACTTTTATTATCAGCTGGTTTCTATTGGACACTGGGTTGGGTTGCTTTTAAACAAGCCGCACCAAACCCAAGTGCACAAAATTAATCCAAAACGCAATTAAACACTTCAAAAACTTTATTTTCTTATAGAAAAAAGTATTACTCTCTATTTTTTTATTTTAGTGGCATTTCCGTAATAAAGTGAAAGTTATAGTGATAGATTTACTTACCTTCATTATCACATTTAATGGCACGTAAGAAATTGTACGAATCGCCGATTCTCTATCAATGAAACATATAAGTTGGTAATGAAATCATTTAAACTCTTTTAAACGTGCAGCTGAATCACTCTTGGTTGACGATAAACGTACCGAGTTTAAACTTTCTGCGAAATGATTCTTCAGGTTTTTTTCGCGAGCCTCACAAAGCAGCGTTCATAATTATATCTACTGTATCGCATTGAATATCAATGCCGCGGCATACATTACGAATTGCAAAAAGGCGGCGGTCTAAGCATTACTTGAGAGTCATCAAAACCTATATCAGATTCGACACGATCTTGTATTGAAGTTAAATTTAAAATTGAAGTTATCTATATTCAGATTTAAAAATATGTTAAGATCCTTCAAAGCCTGTTCTTGAAACTCATCTCATTCATTTTCATACTGCTTGGCCATAAACATGTCCTAGTGGGATGTTATAACTAGAACAAGATCTTAGAACCTAGCAGTAGTATGGTAAAAAAAAAATTGGCAAAGTAAACGTAGATTTTCGTGGCAAACTTGTTATTTACTTCATTTTTTACTCGACGTTCATTCTACTTTACCCAAAACTATAACTCACAGACTGTAGATATTTATTTGAAATCCATTGCAAGACTTTTGTCTTTTTTTTGCTAAAAAAAGGCATTCAATCTAAGAAACTGTTATTCATAGTAAGTTATATATTTAGAATTTTTCCCTAAGTGGAGGTAAAGGAACTCAACTCAATGATTGTGGGGTTCAAAGTGCGATAGAGTGATCAATAAAACCGATAGATTTAGATGCAAGTGCTTTAATAGTTTAGTCTCAGAATTTATTTGTCTGCCTAAATTAATTATAGTAATAACAATAAAGATAAATTTTTTTTTTTTTAAATTGACATGAATTTGCAGCTAAGAGGACAATTGATCTTTCTTGACGTGTTGCGTGCATAGCATTTTGTATTGAACTACCACAAACACCGTTCTCGGAATCTGAATAATCTTTTGATTTGGTACGTTGCTCTAAATAGGCCAAAAAATCTTGTAATTCTTGTTTAATATCAATTCAAACATTTGGGAACATTGTAAGTGTCGGCGCATTTTCGCTACCTGTTGACGTATGTTTGCTTTATTTTTGCCGCCGCGTAGGCATGATTTAAGTGCTTTCGTTCTGTTTGATGCAGCTGTTGTTAGTTCATCATCCAATCGAGGTTCATTTACATGCTGCAATTCACCATCATCTTCGCTTAAATTATTGGGCCTTTGATGATTAATGTAACTTTCAGAACGTCGCCGGGATACTTTTTTGATACGAAAGTTATTTGTGGTTGTTTAGTATCTAAATTTTCTTCTTTATTTACAGTAACGGTTTATTCCCCCTACCTAATAGTAATAAAAATGTCTATATGTTATGTATGTATGTACATGCATATGTGTGCACATAAATATTTGCTACGAGTTTACCGAGTATTTCTTTTTATTTGATTGTATTTGTGGAACGGGGCACGTTTACAGATTTATATTTTTACGCATATTCTTATTATATGGAGGCTGCAGGTCATCGCAAAAAAAATAGATAAATAAATATATATTGAGGAGGCCAGACAGATTAACTCAAGGCCCGAAATTTTCACTAAGCGACTGTTATCTAAGGTTATAAAAATTGAAATGTGTATGCGTACGTATGTTTCTACGCATGTGAAAGTAGTGTGTAAGTCACTTTATGGTTAAATGGAACAGTCACTCTTAGACTTTCCACTCAAATCGGGCACTTTAGTAGAGCAGAAGGCACGCAAGGAAAAAAAAACGTTATAAACCCAACTTTATTAATACAACTGACATCCAAAGTCTGTAGTATTAAAGAGACATTTTAAAGCTATTTGCCGGTAACACCGCCAACATACTATGATAATTATTGGCCGGAAGTGTTTTATGAGGCCGCATCCAGTCAACAAGATATACCGTTAAATTGTTGTTTAGAATAGATAGTGAACAAATGTAGCAACAGCAATCAAGATTTCCCACACCCCTCATAACACCGCCACGTACGTTAGCGGCTAATGAATTATTGGTAACACCCCAACAATAACAACAACAACAATTGCACACACAATCGGTTATTATGAAAATCGGTCACGATCGAAGTCCACCACAACACATACCAGCGGAATTACCCTATAACGTTTGCTTATCGGAGGAGCTAACAAAAATTACAAGTAACGAAAACCCCAGTAGCGGTACACCATCACCGAGTCAAAGTAGCAATGGTTTTGCATGCGATTAGCTAGATTGTGGAAGGTAATGCAAACGCTTCAATGTTTGAATCGTAACTATTTTCTTTATTGCTTTCGAAGGATATACTCATAAGGCTTCCAGCTTTTATATCCTTAAGAATTTGGAATGTTGTTTGCGGAGCAGTGTTTTTTTGACAGGATTTAGCAACTGTGCCTATGTTAGCTTCTACCACTTCGTTATCCTTTTCTTCGTCAGAGATTTCAATTACTGACTCATCAGATTCGTCACCAATATACGTAGGAGGGCTCTGTGCATTTATTTGCGGAAGGCTTGACCTAGGTTCATCCGTCTCTAAAGCTGCTTCTCGTCTGTAGCTATTATTTGAAATTACGACAGTAACATTTTTTCTGCTTCCATCGTCTAAAGTGTTATTATCCACAAAGGTTAAACTGTCCGCGAATAGTAACAGGAGTCGAACATGTACTGCTGTGGCCATATGTCCCAGCTGAAGAAATACCAGTCACAGCTGTTCTTATTCGTACTAGTGCCTTGACTGACCGTGGTGTAAGGTATGGTAAATAAGTCCATATGTGAATGAGCACAAATTTCCAAACAGACCTATATAAAAGAAAAGTAAATATAAAACGATGCTAATGACAGGTAGATTGCGCACAGTATCGAATTAAGTCCTGAGTAACCCAAATTAGGATGAACCAGAGTAACTATATTTCTAGCACTACGCTATTTCAGCTTTGATCATATGAGCAATCTTTTTAATGATACGAAAAGTATGATAAGAAAGTTAACACATTTACAAAAACCATAGAAATTTTTTGTATTTCGTTTGCTTACCACTAATTCATTGGCCACTTTGGTCATATGAACTTTTTTTTTTTTTGGTATGTTGAATGGAGATGGACTAAGCCAATAGATATGTGGCTTATATGTCCAGATAATAAACTGTCGTAATTTGTGGTCACAATTATGTACAAAACGTAACAAAAAAAAGAACGGCCGTAATAACTTGAGCCAGCATGTTAAGTGTAATTTTGTATGTGTGTGTAATTGTGCTTGTTGAGTTCTTGAAAGTCAAACCACAAACAGTGTTGCAAACTTTGGATGAAAACGAAAAGGAATGCTATGGTAATAGAAGATGATTGAACGCAAAAGCGAAAGAAAAAAAAGGAAAGAAGAGGAAAAAAAAATCTAAAAGGACAAATTAGATTTTCTAATAAAGAAAGTTAGTTCCCCGAGATGACGTACATTTTTTGCTGCAAAGAGATCGAGGAGAAAGCCATATAACTTGAAGAAGCTAAAGGAATCTCTAATGCCATCAAGCCTGTGACATCTGAAGATTAGATGCTCAGCAGACTCAACAACATTGCAAACTTCACAAACATCACATGGTATAGCGCGAATCATTTTTAAATAAACTTTGTCATAAGTGTGACCACTCATGAGTCTATAAAGAATTTTGATTTCCCAGGAATTAAAAGAAGATACAGAGAAGGGTTTGAATTGAAATGTGGGCTTTAATTTATAGAAAAAACGATTGGATTTAACGCGCGCGATTACTTTAAATTCGTCGTTTAGCTGTTGAAGGATGTGGTTGCGAATTGCCCGAATTGCTTCATTGGGAGTATATTTGATGGACAAAATTGTCCCATCAACACGAGCTCTCCCTACATGAAAGTCGGCTTTTACATTTAAAAAAAGCCGCAGTGGCCAGGTATCCAAACGAGGTGGCAGTCATCCACTTGAGATTCGTGCAACGTCATGTGAATGTCAAACACATATTGATTTTCTGCATCTCTTTTATTTATTAGAAGTAGAGCTGACCTGCTATGGGAAAAAATAACAAAACGTCTGATACCTTCGGAAATGGCAACCATGATAGCATGTCGAATGGCGAGCAACTCAACAAAAGTAGAGGAAAGTTCCTCTTCCACTTTGACTCGAAGTATTGTTTCAGATAGATGTTTTACGACCGAGAAGCCAGACACATCATGTCCGACGGAACCGTCAGTGGCATATATATCATATCCGTTGTTGTAATAAAAAAAGAGTTTTTCTTGGCATAACAACCTTATGCAAGAGAAGTTGACATTTTGTTTTGAGGTAGAGATCGGTCCGAGAATGTTCATGAAGACTTTGCATTTGCTGGTAATGAAATTCAAGGGGGGAATTGAATCTAACTTATCAAAAATATGACGAAGTTTCTGATAGCAAAAAGTATAGCTGCAAGTGACCGTATCAGGTCTCTTTCGAAAACTGGCCATTCACCAGATATAACATTGAGAATATGTTGAGGAGTTGAGGGGGTCAGTCCAGTACAACGCTTCAACATTCGGTTTTCAAATGCTTGTATACGTTTTTCAGTATATGGAATGTCCAAATTCAATTTTGGACCTGACTAGAGATTTGTAAACGGTCAAAGCATTTTTTGGAGGCAAGCCTGCCTGATTGTTTGTCATGAGTTTGATGATGTTGCATCCAGACTGACAATCTTTGAACGCCTTTTCATAATGCCCACGAAGGGTTAAGCTGTCATTTAAAATTCTCCCAAGAAATCGAAGAGATTTTACCTGATTAACTTGGGTACCTTTGATAAGAAGTCTGATTTCACGTTTAGAACCTTTGGCAAAATAGATAGTGTTTGTCTTGCTGGGGTTAAAATATAAATTAAGATCAGCGCATGCATCGAAAAACAAGTTCGCTTTCATCGAGAGGTTATTGACAGCTGCTGGAAAAGACGAGTCCGCAGATATGATTAGAAAATCGTCTGCATATTGAAAAATGTGAGTTTTGTCATCTTGAAGATCATGCAAAGAAGCTGCGTATAAATTGAAGAGTATGGGGCTTAAACAACTGCCTTGTGGGATACCACCGCATATTTCAACTTTTTCGGTACCCATCACCAACACACGCTTCGATAAAAAATTAAGTATCCACAGCCGCATTTGAAGAGGAATCGAAAAGTTTAGGAGAATTCTACCGAGCTTAATCAAGTTGACACAGTCATAGGCTTTGCTGATGTCCAGGGAGGGCATGACAACCATTTTCCTTGCTTTTTTTAAGCTGGCTATGAGAAAACACAGTTCATTACCGCACATATTCGTAGATTTGCGTTTTTTTGGCGTAGGCGTAAGACCGAGCTGGAATAATGTTCTTAGTTTTCAGGAAAGCAGTTAGTCTCTCCTTAACCATGAGGTTGATGGTCTTTTTTGAATACAGATATTAGGGAAATTGGTCTGAAGCTACTTAAATCATTTAAGTCTTTCCCTGGCTTGGGAATGGGAACTATTTTGATGCAACGCAAATCAGAGGGTATAAAGTTGGTGGACCAGCAGTTGTTAATTGCATGCAAAAGCATGCTAAAGCTTCCTCCAGACAATGCTGTCAGCATGTCATACTTGACTCCATCACAACCTGCAGCAGTAGCTCTCTTTCTGGAATGTAAAACATACATTAGCTCATGCAATGAAAAGAGTGTGTTACTGATACTACTAAAAGGAATTGAAGGCATTGTAATAGGATTAACAATTGGAATGTAGCTCTTGAGCATATCTAAGTATTTTTTATTATCACGGTCATTCCATACAGCACAACCGCTTAATTTTCGACTAGAATGTCGATGACCATTGATATAATTCCAGAAGGAACGTGGGTTGCCGTTACCACATAACTCTTTAATAGCGATGGCTCTATGTGCCCTTTTCGCCTTTCTAACTGCAGACCTCCATTCTTTCAGTATTTTCATATATTCAATGCAGTTGGCTGGATTGGCATATTTACTCATTTTTTTTCTTGCAGCTTGGTATTTGCGGAAAAGTGTTGACAGGGAAGGATTCCACCAAAGTTTAGGTGAGAAGGACTCAATGTCAGGGAAGTTGGTTCTAGCAGACATGATCACAGACTGAAAGGCACTTTGAATTGATGATAAATCAGAAGGAAGATCAACTTTAGACAGACGGTCCATAAGGAAGTTGCGTGAAATGAAATTTTCTATTTTAATGACGGAATTGTTACAACTGTGGAATATGATGCGGGAGTGCTGACTTTTGCCAATGGAAACATTGGACGTGTTCCAGTTGAAAGATAAAATAGTTGAGTTCGAGAAAGTTAGATCCAAGACACTGCTCGCCGTGCGACCGCTCCGGTTACAGTGAAAGGTAGTATTGCCGTTATTTAAGACACTGAAACTGCTGGAATTGATGGCATTTACAAGGATTTTGCCTTTGTTGGTAGAGACTTGATCGCCATACAGGCGGTGTCTTGCATTGAAATCTCCAGCTAGAATCACATTTTGTTCACCGTCAAGAAAGTCGCATAATCTCTGAATCTCATCACGAAGGGTTTGCACATCGAGACTGATGATGATGTCAACGGCAGAGTTATAGGGAATACGTCTGAAATTGACACCTTTCTTAACTAATATACTAACACCACCATAGCCATCACTTCGGCATTTGGTGGCTGAGGCATAATTCGAAACTTTAACTTCGAAACAGTTTTCATCTTTCAGAAAAACTTCACTTAAGATACAAAAATCAATCTTGTTTGAGTTTAAGTAAAAATCTAGAAAAGATAGGTTACGTCGGACACTTTGAATATTATATTGTAAAAAGGTTGTCATGTTGAAACTTGAGAAAGAACCCCAGCGGATTTCCTCGCAGTACTGTATGCTCGAACGGGCCAAGAAATAGCACAGACAGACATTTTTTCTTCAAATTCTTTAATAAGATTGTGAGGGATCATCGGACGGATACTTTCTTGAATCGTGAGAATTAATCTTTCAAGTTCTGAAGACCGCAAATAGTTGTTTGAAATTTTCGGTCCAAGAAGGCTTGTTCCAGACGACTTGGGGGGTGTATTGGGAGAAGGCTTGGTGGGTGATTTGATAAGAGATTTGGAGGGAACCAATTTTCTTTTGACGACAGCATTGTATTTATTTTTGGTTAAGATTTTATTGGCATATTGATTATCATCCTTGGTCGACATTGCAGACGTGTTCCCCAGTGGAGGGAAATTGCCGTCATAAGTGTTGTCATCGAGACATTCGAAATAATTTTCGGAAAAATTCTCTTTGACCTCTTTATACGGAAGATTTTTAATCGCCATTATCCTGTTGATGTTTAATTCAATTTCCCTATTAGGGCAACACTTATTGAGAGCGTTGTGCTCACCTGAGCCACAGGACAAGCACTTCATCGCCTCACAATTTACATACTTCGGAGACTTTCCACAGGTAAGGCACCTGCTCTCTTTAGCTTTGCAGAATTTAGATACGTGACCGTATCTGCCACACTTAAAGCACTGCTTTAAAGTGGGTACAAAGTATTCAACCGGCAGATTACGATAATTAAATTTTATTGCCTTAGGGAGGGCCCTCCCTTTGAAGCCAACTTTGATGCTGGTTGTGGGAATCCACTCGTCTTTGTTGTTGGGATTTCTTCTTTGGAAACGGACAGCGGACTTAATCGGGATATCGGATACGGCGTTTTTAATTATATCATTGACACTATATGTGCATGGGATGTTTCGAATAACTCCAAATCTCTCAGTGAACGACCTCGGTATGTACGCTTTTAAATTCTTTT